TCTCTGGTGAATCCTCTCACCCGCCCCCGCCACTTCTGGCCTACACCCCAGCCCTTGCATGCATAAATAAAATAAATCTTTTTTTAATTTTTAATTTTTTTAAAGATTTATTTATTTATTTATACAAGCACTGGGTACAGTCAGAAGTGCGGGAGGGTGAGAGAATTCACCAGAGCCAGAGCAGAGAGCAGAGCAGGCAGACTGATGAAGTACTGTTGAGGGGAGCAACAGGCGGCAGGAGAGGTCTGCGCACCATGTGGGACCCTCACCCGGTGGCCAGGGATCGAACCAGCGCTGCAGAGGCTGCGGGCAGCTTTGCAATCCAGCGCTCAACCGCTGTGCCACCGGGGAGGCCCTAAAATAATCTTAAGGGCCTCCCCGGTGGCACAGCGGTTAAGCGCTGGGTTGCGAAGCTGCCCGCGGCCTCTGCGGCGCCGGTTCGATCCCCGGCTGCTCCCCGGCCACCGGAGGAGGGTCCCACATGGCGCGCAGACCTCTCCTGCCACCCGCTGCTCCCCTCAGCAGTGTACTTCTGTCCTTCTGCCTGCTCTGCTCCCTGCTCTGTCTCTGGTGAATCTTCTCACCCCCACACCTCTGGCCTGTACCCCAGTTCTTGTATGCATAAATAAATAAATCTTTAAAAAAGAGAGAAAGATTGCAAACAAATTTCATTGTACTTTCCCTGTGTGTGTGACATTCCACTTCCTCATGCTCGTCTACACTGGAGATTATGAAACACATACATTTTTTATTAAGTGAAAAGTGAAGATAAGCTCCTTGTTTGGCTAGAATTTCTTTAAATATGAATGAAATGAACGCATTTTCATGTTTATTATTTTTCATTTTTGTGACTTTTCGTTTGCATCTTTTGCCCATGTCCATTCACGGTCTTATTAATTTATAAAGAAGTTATCTCTTTGTCCTTCTTATGTTGCAAATATATCCCCCAGTTTATCATTTGTCTACTGATTTCGTTTTTGGTGCATTTTGTTGCTTAGGAACTTTTCAACTCTATCTTGTAGGGTAGATCTTAAACTAAGAATTTTTTAAAATTTATTTATTTATATATATTTTACATCATTGTTCCTTTTTAAACAATGTTTGCTTTTTTTCCCCTCAGGTGTAGTCCCCATAGAATTTCCTCCACCAGTTCACCCGTGCACCATCACCTCAGTCCCCTGTGCTCCTCCCTCCCTCCCTCTGATCCCTCTCCCTCCTCCTCCCCTGCAGGATGTCTCTGGTTTATAATTGTTTTTGTTTTGTTTTGTTTTGTTTTGTATTCTTATTATTTCTGCCACTGATGTCTTATTTGGTTCCCCTATATTCTTCCTATTAGTGAAACTGTTACAGGGCAGCCCTGATGTAAAACGGGTTGCCTGGCTGTGGGTCCTCACCCGCGCGCTTAAAAGGGACTTAATACCCCACTACAGGCACACACAAAAGGTTAATAAAAGGTTTATTTACAAGGGAAAGGGAATTGAGGAAATGTACAGCTCAGGGAGAAAAGTGGGAGATAAAGTCTTAAATGCATCCTACCCGATCCGAGGATCTGGAATCCCAAATGGCACTCTCTGAGAGCGGGCCGCGAACCACCAGCCGTGAAAGCAGAAGGCGAGCAAGTGAGCGAGCGAGCGAGAGAACGCAAGGCCCACGTGTCTGGTTTTATACCAAACCTGGCTGCTTAACCCCACCCTCAGGTCCCAGCCACCTTCCCTTTGATGGTGATGGGATTTGTCTCTCCCAATGTATTAATGGCTTTGGTCTGGGGTGGGGGTGGAGTCCACAAAGCCTGTATGGAATTAGCTCAGGACATCCTTTCCCCCTAACAAAACCATCTGATATTTTTCTTTTTCCTTCTGACTTATTTCACTGATCATAATCCCTCCTAGCTCCATCCACGCTGCTGCGAATGGCATTATTTATTTATTTTTTTGATTGCTGAATAATATTCCATTGTGTATATATACCACATCTTGATCCAGTCATCTATTTGGGTGCATTTGGGGTGTTTCCAGGAATTACCTATTGTAAATAGTGCTGCAGGGGTATTCTTTTTTAAAAAAGATTTATTTATGCATACAAGAGCTGGGTCACAGGCCCGAGATGAAAGGGGTGAGAGGATCCACCAGAGACAGAGTGGGGAGCAGAACAGGCTAGAATGACTGCTGGGGGGAGCAGCGGGTGAGTCAGGAGAGCTCTGCTGTGCCATGTGGGTTGCTCATGCTGCAGAGGCTGCGGATTGCTTCAGAGTGCAGTGCTTAATCCCTTGTGCCACCAGGGAGGCCCTGCAGGTATTATTTTGAATCAATGTTTTTGTGTCCTTTAGGTAGATCCCTAGTAGTGGAAGCAGGTTGAGGAATCTCCACACAGCTTTCCATAGTGGTTGGACCAGTCTGCACTCCCACAGCAGTGCAGAAGAGTTCCTTTTTCTCCACATCCTCGCCAACATTTGCTGTTGCTAGGTTTTTGATATGTGCCATTCTCACTGGTGTAAGGTGGTATCTCAGTGTGGTTTTGATTTGCATTTCCCTGATTACAAGTGATGTTGAACATTTTTTCATGTGCCTGATGGCCATTTGCATTTCCTCTTTGGAGAAGAGTCTTTTTTAAAAAAAAAAAAAAAAGATTATACATACAAGAACTGGGGTGTAAACCAGAGGTGCGGGGAGTATGTGTGGGAGGGGGTGAGAGGATTCACTAGACAGAGTGGGGAACAGAACAGGCAGATTGACCGAAGTACACTGCTAAGGGGAGCAGCGGGCAAGGCCGGAGAGGTCTGCTGCACTATGTGGGGTGCTCCCTGGCCAGGGATCAGGGGATTGAACTAGTGCTGCAGTGGCTGGTGATAGCTTGATAGCAGTGTCTTTAACCCCTGCACCACCAGGAAGACCCCTGAAGAAGTGTCTTTTCAGTTGCCCATTTCTTGACTGGATAACTTTGTTTTTGTTGAGTCATGTGCATTCTTTGTATTCTTTTGGATCAGTCCCTTATCAGTTGTATGGAGTGCAAAGTTTTTTTTTTTTTTAAGATTTTTATTTATTTATATAAGAGCTGGGGTACAGGCCAGAGGTGCAGGAGGATGAGAGGATTCACCAGAGACAGAGTGGGGAGCAAATTAGGCAGACTGATTGAAAGACACTGCTGAGGGGAGCAGCGGGCAAGACAGGAAAGGTCTGCTGCACCATGTGGGTTTGTCCCTGGCCGGCGGGGATCAAACCCGTGCTGCAGAGGCTGTGGACAGCTTCACAGAGCTGCGTTAACCCGCTGCGCCACAGGGGAAGCCCTGGAGTGCAAAGATTTTTTTCCCAATCGGGTGTCTCTTAGCTTTGGTTAATGTCTCTTTTGCTGAACAGCTTTTCAGTTAAACTATGAATTTTGCTGAGATCTGCTATAGCCTGTTATGTTGCTTACCATTCCCTTAGCACTTTAAGTGCTTCGGAGACATTCTGGATTTTCAGTGCTAACTTTTGAACGATGTCATCCTTTGCTCTCCAGCCATTTCACATGTTTTCTATTAGTGTTGATTTACATGTTTCTTGCCTTTAATCTTCCAAGAACCCAACTACTACAAATATAAAGTTATTAGTGCTGGAGGTTTGTTACCAGGATTCACGAGAACATGTGAAATGCCAGGAATATTCTGTCTCGTCGCCCACATCCAAAGCTGATGGCTCAGTGCAGCCCCGAAACAGATGAGGATCACTGGCAAATCACCTGTGTCCCTTTGGCCCTTGGTTACCAATGCCTTTCCTCGTCATTTTTTTTTTTTAATATTTATTCATACAAGAACTGGGGTACAGGCCAGAGGTGTGGGGGTGGGGGTGAGAGGATTCACCAGAGACACAGTGGGGCACAGAACAGGCAGATTGACTGAAATACACTGCTGAGGGGAGCAGTGGGCAAGACAGGAGAGGTCTGCTGCGCCATGTGGGTAGCTCCCTGGCCGGGGATGGAACTCATGCTGCTGAGGCTGCGGATAGCTTCGTAGGTTGCATCTTAACCCCTTGTGCCACCAGAGAGGCCCTTTCTCCATCATTTCTACTTAATGCTAGTTGTCTTTTTTCAGTACGTACTCTGAGCCAGGCATTGGGAGAAGCACTCTAATATGTTAAGTTACTGAATATAAACAATTTTGTGAGACTATTACCATCAAGTTTTACAGATGAAACCAAACCTTAGAGAAGTAACTTCACCAAGGGTAAGAGTTTATTTAAAGGAGTCTTCAAATATTTATTAAATCGCAGCATGGGTCATGCCAAGTAAGAATCCAACGGAACCCAAAGCGGCTTGAACTTTAAACTATTACAACCAACTTGGATCACACCCCTCCTCTGCTCAAAGACTGGTAACTCACCCTTCACTCAGAATAGAAGCCCAAGTTCTCACTGTGACCCATGAAGCCCTCCAAGATCTGGCCTGACTCACCTCATCTCCTACCACATGCTGGTCCAGCCACACTGGCCTCTCCAACCATCTTTCTGGCACACTCCAGCCTCAGTGCCTTTGCACTACCTTTTCTCCATGCCTAGAATGTTCTCCCCGCATACAATGGCTTGTGCTCTCTTCATTTGGTCTGTTTAAATTTCACCATGTCAGGAATGTCTTCTCTGATCATGGCACTGATAAGACTCCAATCCCCCCACCCTCCCCAATCTGGTAATTTGTCTCCTGTCCATGCTTTATTTTTCTCCACAACACTTAGCTGACTTGTTATGTATTTTTGTCTATTAACCACCTGCTTTCATTAGAATGCAAGCCCCATGAGGACAGGGATGTAGGTCACAGCGGTATTCCCCGTGCCTAGGAGGGTTCCTGGCACATGAATATTGTCTGTTGAATGCATGAGTGTGTAAAACACTTGTTTCACCTATGACAAGGTAAGGTAGACATTCGATAAATGGTTGTTGAATGAATGAGTAAATCAACACATGAATGAATGAATGGGTAAGTTCTGAACTGCTCTGTGCGCTGTTGGGGCCTGCAGATGTGGGAGCCAGCGATCAGCACGAGCACAGAAAATTTATTTACAAACACGGGCTGGCTGCAGGAGGTGGGTGGGAAGGTTCCTACTTCTGTTCCCGCCTCCAGACGATGACCATGCCACTGGCGTCACTGGATGCCAGCAGGCTCTCATCACAGTTGAAGCTGACATCTAGCACGGGGGCGCTGTGGCCCTGCAGCTTGTTGACAGCAGCCTTGGCAGCCCGTTCCACATCAAAGAAGTGCACGCACATGTCCTCACTGCCTGTCACTGAAAGATGAGAGGCCATCAGGAGGTGCTGCAGGAGGCGGCGGGTGCCCGGGGCGGTGAAACCTCTGAGATAGCTGAGGGCTTAAGGGGTCTATGACCAAGGTGGGAGGCCCCAGCATGGCTGGGTCTGGGAGGTCAACTTGCTGTTTGGATCCTGTGTCCAGAGTATGAGGTGTCTGTGCTCTTTGAGGTGGGGTCTGTGTCTCAGATTGGGAGTGCTCTGGGCTGCTTGGTGGGTGGGGGCCTGTGGTCAAAGTGTGAGTTCTCTGAGCATGAGGTTTTCAGAGCAGGAAAGCTCTGGAGGCCCAGAAAGTCAGGGCACCAAGATGTCTGAGCCAGATCAGCACCAGCCCCGTCCCTGCCCCTCCCAGGCTACCCAGACACCCCAATCCTCTAGGACTCACCCACGCAGGCCCCCTGGCGGAAGGACATGAGGGGGCAGAAGATGCTGCGTACGGGATGAGAGCTCTGCTCAATAGGGAAGCTCCTCTTCAGCTGCAGGGTCCCCTCATTGTCCACCACCCTGCGGGGAGGATGAAAGCTGGTCGGGGCACAGCCTCCACCCCAGAGGGGGGTGAACAGTGGGCCAGTCTGAGTCAAGGTCCATGAAATCCCCTTCTGAGCTGGCTGCATAGACCTGTAAAGCGTGGGCTGGTGGGCAAGTCAGTGATGGTCAGAAATAGTTGACAGTGTGTTGACAGAAATGGGGCACCTCTGCAGGCTCATCCGCTAGCTCTGCCTTCTGAGGGTCTCTTAGAGATCCTGGCGGTAAGGTGGGCACAGAGAGGAAACGGCTGCCCAGCGATGGCAGCCCTGTGCTGTGGTCTTTCAGAAGGATGACCCAGAGCTACAGCAGGTGTCTGGGGATATTTCCACAGGTATCACCTGGTGGAAAGTGAGGTGTGGGGAAGGATGTAGAAGGAGTTCACTTTTGTGAAACCCACAAGCCACAAAAATGTGTGTGTATGCCTAGGTCTACAGGAGAAGCTGTTAACATGCTTTCCTGGGGAAAGGGGCAGGCTGAGGAGGCAGGAGGAAGGGAGAGAGACAGGAAAAAAACTCAGGAGTACTCTTAAATTAAAAATTATAACTGTATGTGTATATAATTTCTTCTAAGGAGAAAAAAAGATAAAATAAGCATTCTATGGGGAAGGGTTTTTCAGGCCTGGCTGGACATCACTGGGGGAACTTTTCCATACACTACAGCCCAGGGCCACGGAGTGGGGCCCGGCCATGATTTTTTGAAGCTCATCTAGTCATTCCAGGGTGCGGCCAGACTGAGAACTGCATTTGGGTAACAGGACTCGTATGAGGTGGAAGAGTAAACTTTCCCCCTCAAGAAAACAAAAAAGGCAGGATGAATGGACAGAAAATAGGCCAATGCTCTAAAGGAGATCCTAGTTTATTTTATGCCTCAGTTTGCTCATCTGTAAGATGGACATGCACATGGCGCCTGCCTCACAGGGTTGTGAAAATTAAATGAGGTGATACGCCTAAGATGCTTCAAAGGGTCTGACCTCGGTAATGGATCCAGCAGCACTGGCTCCTGCTGCCACTGTTATAGCTAATGGTGATCTCATCTTCTTACGACTTATTGGTGCTGTTATTATTATGGTTAAGAGACTGGACCACCGCCCTCAGTGAAATGAACCTGACGGAAGAAACAGGCTCTCAGGCCTTCTGTCTCCAGGTGGTCCCAGCCGAGGAGACCCACCTGTAGAGCAGCAGCTTGTTGAGGCAAGCGTTGATGAGCAGCGAGGGGTCCCGGGCCTCGCGGCTGACCCAGGAGCGGGCGGAGATACTGGTCACAGGGCTCCCCTCATGCACCACCAGACGCTTGGCTTTGGTCAGCTTCCCTGGGGGAATAGAGGAGAGGAGGGGAGGGAAGGGCAGTGCGTTGGGAGGGTGAGAACCCCGGGTGCAGGCCTTGGCCCACTTACCTGTGGCCATGTCAAAGAGGAAGGAGAAAACACTGCCGCGGTCATCACCTGCCCAGAGCAGCCGGCCAGGGGCGTCAAAGGACAGAGCCAGGACCCGGCCTGTCAGCTTGCTGGAACCACCCTTCACCTTCTTGCCCGTGGAGATGTTTACGACATGCACGTTGTGCTTGGCGTTCCCCACCTGTGGGTGAGACCCACACACCATCATCCTGCTCCCAGTCAGTCCTTCTTTGAGTCTGGCCACAGTGAGGCTGCTGTTGATGGGACTGGCTGGTTCCTACTAGGGCTGTGGCGGGGAGACTAGGTGACCTCAGCCTGCAAACCTGCCAAGCCAGTCCCTTCCGCAATCTGCTCAAAACAGATAGCTGCACCCAGGACTAAAGTGGTCTCAGATCCATAACGCTGCCCCCTGGTCAGCAGCCCCTGTGGTCGGCAAACCACAGGGCCAGCCCAGTCCACAACAGCAACCTGTCTACTCCCTGGCTCGTCCTTTCTGGAGCCTTGACTACAGCGGACCTGCCGCTGGGGCAAGTGAAAGGAGCCCCGGATACAAGCTCACTCTTGCTGGTCCCCTCTATTCCCTGCTCGGGGCCAGGCCAGGCTGCTCATATCCTCTCCTTGCCCTCTGATTCTTGCCCTGGGGTCAGATCAACGTGGGGCTGCCAGTGATGGTGCGAGGTTTCTGACCTGCACCCCCGCTCCCTGACCAGTGGCCCCCGTGGTCAGAAATGGCAGAACTGCCGCTGATCTGACTGAAGGGGTACCAGACCCATAATGGTACCCCTGACCTTGCCCCCCTAGAGATCACCTCAGCAAGACCACCCCAGACCAAGATCAGTGCCCCTCCACTGACCCACTCCCCTGAGTCTGGCCACAGGAGGGCTGTGGTGGTGGACTGGAGTGGACCCCCTTATACTGATTCCCTGCACAGACAGCCCTCCCGGCCCGGCATCCCTGCCCTCGGCAAGCAGACGCCCTGGAGCCTGACCACAGTGAGGTTGTTGTTGACTGGCTGGAAGGTGCAGCAGAGCAGTTCGGCGCCATCGGGGTCAGGGATCTCCCGGATGCAGCGGCCGTCCTCAGAGGCCCAGATGCGCATGGTAGCATCAAGGGAGGTGGACACAAGGATGTCATTGGAGAGGGACCAGGCGAAGTCAGAGACACCACGGGTGTGTCCCCGCAGCACGCGCAGCACGGTGGGTGGGGCGGGCACCAGCTGGCACAGGGAGATGCTGCCATCCAGTGAACAACAGGCCAGGCGGTGCCGGTCGTCATTGGCGAAGCGCACCCTCGGGACTGCAATGCCAAGGAGCCACGTGTTTGCTCACTGGGAGCTTTTGCTCATAAAAGGCTCTGACACGTGGGCCAGGCTTAGGAGCCCCTGCACCGGGCACAGTGGCCTGAGCACAGGGCTTTCCTGGGCTGAGAGAGGGAGATGGAACCCCGGAAGACCCTTTTTAAAAGCTCCCTAAATCGAGTAGATATTTTATGGACTGCAAGATTTCTGCAATGTGAAAAGTTACCTCCATCCCAGAGTGAACTTTTTAATTACCAAGGAAGTGGCAGTTTGCAAAACCCACTCTACCCTCGGCATGGGGATCTGTCTGCAGCAAAGGCTTTGACTCTTCCAAGTGACTCACAGCCCCAGTGCTGAGCAGAGTGCTTTTTGAAGTTGTTGTGCCCCTTATGGTAGACAGTCCTTAGGATTTTGCAACCACTTTGCAGAGGGCTTTTCAGCTTGTGAAAGGTTTTATGGATGGCAATTTGTCATTAGGAGGTGGGCTAGAGGCTGTGCCTTCCAGAAGAGGATGCACTGGGTGCTTGTCACCATTTGGATAAATGTGTCATGATGGGACCCACTCCCCACTGGCTCACCTGCCTCATCCACGTGCTGGTCAAAAACATGGTACATGCCTGCAAAGGCATAGTTCTCGCTCAGTGACGTGTCCCCAGCCATGGCCCGACTTGCTTCCGCCACTGAAGTGGGTACCACGCTGCCGGGAGGCCTGTGCCCCAATGAGAGCAGAGGGTGACAGGAGGTAGGTGCTAGCCTTCAGCCTGCCATCTCCCAGGGCTCCTCTCCTCCACATACAGCCTTGCCCTCAGCTGCCCTGGTGCATACCTGTCTTCATAGACAGCGCGGTTCATCTGCGCCTGCAGCTGGTAGGAGCCTCGGCTGACAGAACGGCGGTGCCCACGGGCTCCCAGAGCCCGAGGATCATCCTCAAAGTCCTGCAAAGACAGAGAGTCAGGGTGGGGGCATCTTGAAGGAGTCCTTAAGGATCTACAAGGGAAAATATAATACCATCCATTATCTGTTTTTTACTTTAAAACTTTTTTTATTTGTAAAGAATCGCAAACTTAATAAAAGTTGCAAAAATAAAGATTGTGAAGGGAACACCTTTATACCCTTTTACCCAGATTTTCCTGTTTTAACATTTTATATCATTTGCCTTATGACAGCCCCTTGTGTTTGGATACTCAAATTTTTCTTTTTTTAAAGATTTTTTTTAATAGAGGCATGTTTTTATTTATTTGTTTGTTTGTTTTGTTTATACATGCACTGGGTACAGTCAGAAGCTCGGGAGGGTGAGAGAATTCACCAGAGCCAGAGCAGGGAGCAGAGCAGGCAGAAGGACCGAAGTACACTGCTGAGGGGAGCAGCGGGCGGCAGGAGAGGTCTGCGCGCCATGTGGGACCCTCCTCCGGTGGCCGGGGAGCAGCCGGGGACTGAACCTGCACCGCAGAGGTCGCGGGCAGCTTTGCAACCCAGCGCTCTACTGCTGCGCCACCGGGGAGGCCCAGGATACTCAGATTTTTTAAAACCATTTGAGGGTAACTTACATGTATCATGTCCCTTTCTTGCAAATACTTAAGTATTTATAGTTGATCCTTGAACAATGTAGAGGCCAAGGGTGCTAGACCCCATCCCCAGCATGTAATCAATAAATTCACAAATAAATTCTGACTCCCCCAAAACTTTACTAATAGCCTGCTGTTGACTGGAAGCCTTACCAATAATATAAACAGTTGATTAACAACAACAAAAAGAATCTGAGATCAGGAGCCTTCAAAATATACCCAGAACCTCATTCCTTCTCACCCCCAGCCACCTCTACTGCCTGCACTAGTTTCCCTGCTCCTGACCTGGCCTCAGTGAGTTAAGATACTCAATAAAGGTTGTGTTAACAAAGAATGGTTTCCCCAGAAAGCAACTCCCCTGAGTCTCTTGCTTCATGCAAGTATCAGCTCACATGTCACTTCCTTGGAAAGGTCTGATGATTTCCATGAAAAACAGCTTCTCTCCGTCCCCTACACTGATCCTGTTTTTATCTCCCAAGCCTTTACTTTTCCATCTTAGCACTCTTCCCTATAAGCCAATAATTGACTAATCTGGTCTACTGGCTTACAGGTTTATTAGCCTACTTCTCTATTGCCTATTTACCAACCAGTTTATTTGGTTTATTGACTTATCTCATAATTATGCCTGCTGTTCATCCTAAGAGCCTAGAACAGTGCCTTGCTAGTAATAGGTGCTTAACAAAAGTCTGCTGAGTGAATGTATGGAGGCCAGAGGCAAGGTAGTTGTGTGAGGAGGAGCTCACCTCCATGCGGTCAAGGGTAGTGCGGCTGCTGCGGATGATGCTGTTGCTGTAGGCACGGGCACTGCCTGGTTCAGAGAGGGGGCCGTAGCGCTGGCCCAACAGCTGTCCCCGCAGCCTCAGGTACTGCCGACGCAGTGCTGGGGGGTGCCCAGCCTTGGCATTCTCCCGCAGCAGCTGGCTGCGCCGTCGGATATACTGTGTCCGAAACTGTGGAAACGTTGGTGTGCGGTACGCGTTGTACCTATGAGGGCAGGAGGCAGGGTGGGTAGCAGGCACAGGATGGAGGGAATCAATTAGCTCAGGTAATAGAGAAGAGAAATGAGATGCTGAGATGCGTGACAGTGAATGGAGTCAGAATGACAAGTCATGGTAATATGGATCCCTTCAGTGCTGGGATGGAGGTGAGTCTACAGTAATAAAGACCATGGGACTGAAGTCACTGGGAGGACAATGGAGACAGTGTGCAGCTTCGCTAGAATTGGAATGGGGTGTCTGAATCAGTGTGGGAGTCAGTCTGGCACAATGACGGGGGTTCGTGTGGGATGGTATTTGGGGTCATGTTGGGGAAATGATAGTGGTAAGAGATGCCTGGTGACAATCATAAAGACTAGGATGTCACCACCCTGAGCTCCATTCCCTCCCTCCCAAAGGTTCTTCGCACAGATCCTCTTCTGAAAGCTTTTTCCCAGCATGCTCTTTACGACCCTCAGGCTACCCCATCTCATTGAAGGCGAGCCCCCACACCCTACTACTGCGCATGCTCACCTCCAGCATGCCTACGCAGCCGCAAAAGACAAGTTCTCGGCCCAGCCTCACTTATCGCCACTGCGCATGCACCACAGTTACTTCCGCTCTGAAGGACTACAACCCCACGCCTCACCTAGCGTCCACTGCTAAGACCTGCTGCCACACCGCGGCCATTCCCCGGCCTCCTCTTCCTGCGTGTCCGCCCGCGGGAGCCTGCAGGACAAGGGCCTGGAATGTCAGCGTCGCGAGCGAAGGGATCTAGTTCCGCCCCTTCCGCCAGACGATTGTTGCCATAGACGCCGAGCCCCTCCACGCTGGATATCGCAAAATACCGCCCGGCTGTTAGCAGGGGCCTCACCCCAGCCCTGCCCTTTCCGGGCAGCGCCCGGATAACACGGCAGCGATTCAGGCCTGACCCCGCCCATCCCTGATCGCCATAGCAACGCCCCTCCCCCCGCATAGAAATCCTTGGCATTCCTCACCCATGTTGCCCCCCCGCCCCCCGCCTTCCCTTCTCGAGTCCAAGAGCACGGCCTGGGATCAGGGACCACCTCCGGGGCTGCCTCCGGGTCTTGAGGCCCCCCGGGGCGTCCCTGAGACCAGTGTCGCCCTTTCCTTCTCTCTTCTCCCTCTCTCAGGTTCCAGGCAAGATGGCCGCCTGCTGCCAAGAATAGTTGTCGAGCCTAGAGCGAATCGATAGGAACTCAACCCAGGGCGTGGGAGCCACGCAGGCGCACTACAGGACGAAAGCTTCCCGCATAAATACTTATGCACCGCCCCTGAAGTCCTAACCACTTCCAGTCCCCAATGGCACTATGTATATACAAGGATAACCACCAAGGGTCACAGGAACTGGGGCGAGTATGCCAATTTCTCACTAAAAATCTGAAATACTACTTTAAAAAAAATAGAAAAGAAAACCTTTAAAAAAAAGATTTATGTATACAAGAACGGGGGTACAGGCCAGAGATGCAGGCGGTGAGAGGATCCACCAGACAGAGTGGGGAGCAGAACAGGTAGATTGACTGAAATACACTGCTGAGGGGAGCAGCCGGGCGAGACAGGAGAGGTCTGCTGCACCATGTTGGTAGCTCCCTGGGTGGGGATCGAACTCGTGCTGCAGTGGCTGCAGTTAGCTTCATAGGTTGCATTTTAATCCCTTGTGCCACGAGGGAGGCCCCCAAATCACTTTATTTTAAAGAATGATACAAATGGCTTTTTTAGTGACATGATCTTGGCCAAGCAAGATTTTGAAGTGCAGAATAAAAAAATCGCACATGTAGAGGTCCCCTAGAAAGTCTTCCAGTTCTTAGTGTCTGATGGGCCACTCTGGGATGAGAACAGTCCATTGTGCATGACTGAGCAGGTGGTTGGGCATGGATACTCCCACAGAAGCTTGGTCTGTGGGTGAATCTCTACATTAGGCAAAACAAGCTTTAGGGTTTGGATCCCAGGAGGCTATTCTAATCTTTATTTCAGCTCCAACAAGAAACGGCATCTCTTATTATTCATCTTAACACGATCAGAATAAACAAAGCTGAAACACAAGGCCTAGTTAACTTTGGATCTTAACATCAACTGACAATTCTCAAAACCATTTCCACACTATTTCTATAATAAACACAATGCGGGGGGCGGGGGGGGGGCTCCCTGGTGGCCTAGGGCTTAAGTCTTAGTGCTATCACCTCTAAGGCCTGAGTTGGATCCCAAGCCAGGAAGCTAACCCACATATGGCCCAGCAGACCTCTTTGGTCTTACCTGCTCCTCCCTTTAGCTATGTATTTCAGTAAACCCGCCAATTCTGCTCCCTACTGTCTCCCTGGCTTCACCCTCACCTCTGGCCTACACCCCAATCAATACACACACCCTCCACACAATGTGAACGTTTTAAAGTGCCCTGAAATGAGCAGAAACATCCCAAAACGTCCTCTTTTGTATTCTAATAAGGCCACACTGTATTGTATTGATTTAGCATTTCCCTTGTCTGTGCCATAGGTATCTCTTCAGGATATTTTCTCGTGACTGCTAAACAATCTGTAATCTCTAGTATTTGCCAATGTGCTGGGCACTGTTCAAGGTGTTTTACAGGTATTAATTCATTTACTCCTAATAATGAAATGCTATGGGTCCTATTATTATCCTCACATTGAAGACAAGGAAATATGAAGCTCAGGGAGTTCTAGGTGACATTTTATTCAACTAGTCCCTTAATTGTGACCAGCATTGGATTCATTTCCAAGTTTTTCTTTTGGGAAGGGTGAGTCATAAACGATGCTGCGATTAATGCTTTTCCCATTCACCTTGATGGTCCATGGACAGAGTCCTGCCCTTTCATCCTACCATTCAGCTTCCAATGAAACATGGTGGGAGGGTATCGTGAGTCAGGGCTGTCAGGGGATTTACTGTCTGTTGGATTTTATTGCAATATGTAAAGAATTATTTTTAAAAACTCCTATCTGGGGCCTCCCTGTAGCCTAGAAAGTTGTCTCAGTGCTATTCACCTCTATGGCCTAAGTTTGATCCTGGTTAGGGAGCTAAACCACATGTGGCAAAGCAGACCCGCCCACAGCTCCCTTCAGCAGTGTATTTTAGGGGCCTGTTCTGCTCCCCACTGTCTCTGATGAATCCTCTCACCCGCCCCCCACTTCTGGCCTCCACCCCAGTTCTGCACACACAAAAATAAAAAAAACCTCATTCCTCTAAGGCTGTGACACTAGATCAAACAAACAACCCAATGATAGGGTTATTTTAAGTATGAATTAGTTATTACCGCACACAAAGTATTCATAACACCTGTTGCATGATGCATGCTATTATTCTGACAGGCAGTACATTATGTTTCAGAAAGCAGTATAACTTGGCCACTGCCACAGGCTCTGCCAACTAAGAGCTATGCGGTCTTGGGCAAGTCACTTAACCACCTCTTTGTGACCAAGTCTCATCTGATATGAAATAAACTGCCTCATCAGGTCAGTGTGAGAAGTAAATTAGTCCATACCTGTAAAGCTTAAGACTGGCATCTGGAACAGAAAAATAACACACTAAATGTTGACTGCTATCAGTTATTTAAAAATTTCCCAGCAACAGATCCACCTGCTAGAGGTAGCGGTGATACAGAAATAATGCAAATTACAATGACCAGAGCCACCTCTTAAATTTTTCCAACTTTTAAACATTTAAGTACTCTCATTGGGTTAAAAATGGATTTGGGGGCCTCCCTGGTGGCGCAGCGGTTGAGCGCTGGGTTGCGAAGCTGCCCACAGCCTCTCGATCCCTGACCACAGGCAAGGATCTCACATGGCGTGCAGACCTCTCCTGCTGCGCCCACTACTCCCCTCAGCAGTGTACTTCGTCAGTCTGCCTGCTCTGCTCTCTCTCATTCTCTCACCCTCCTGTGCTTCTGACTGTACCCAGTGCTTGTATAAATAAATCTTAAAAAATTTAAAAAAGTGGATTTTGAACAAGTTGGTAACAGGAAGGCATTGTCAGTTTGTTGGAAGTTTGGGGAGAAAGGGGCAGAGTTTATTGTCATGAATTGCAGATCAGAGTGTGGGGAAGAGAGGATCTCAGGCCTGGATGGGGGTTATCAAATTACCAGGAGATGCCCTGGACACTGAGTGACCTTTCTTACAATTATGACATCTAAAAAAGCTCAAGCCCACGGCAGGTCACAAGTTCTACTGCAATGGGATCGGGGGCTATTTTACCATCATAGCTGAGGGTCCTAGTCAAATGCACAGACAGATTTGGACAAAAAAAGACAGGCAGGCCAGAGGTCATGTCTTTTCTGGACTCCTCCTTCCTTCATGTACCTCCTGCCTATTTGGTCCCAGAGCTTAGAAATGGAAAAAGTGAGCTCTGGGTCACACTGACCATGCCCACTTTTCATTAATAACGCAGGCTGAAATGCAACCTAAAGTTGGGCTTCATTCTCAGGAACAAAAAGGAGCATGATTTGAGTGAGTCTCAGCAGCCCGGGCGAAGAGTATACCGAGAAAGAAATAAGCACGCAAAAAGAGAGGGGACATGGGAGTGAGTGTAACTGAAGAACAGACACTCGGTCCTTATTCTTTTACCTTGAAATTTCTTCATTTCTAAATGGGCTAAGGGGGAGTGGGACATAAGATTGTAATTTAAGTTTTACCATTTCCTGATGCAAAATCATTTACTTCTGAAGCCAAAGTTCTCAAACACATGCCTTGATGGTGACAGTTCTGAGTCAGAAACAAGAAACCTGCAGTTGGAAAATGATTCACACAGATCACTTTAGCAGGCCCTATAATCTGAAATATTGAGGCAGCCTTCTGAGAAATATTTATCAAGTGCCAGACAAATGGTTCCTGCTCTAACAGAGATCCCAGTGATAGGTAGAAGGTAAGTGACAAATAAGGTAATTCTAAGATTTATTTCATGTATACAAGAACTGGGGTGCAGACCAAGGGTGTGGGGGGGTGAGAGGATTCACCAGAGAGTGGGGAGCAGTGGGCAAGGCAGGAGAGGTCTGCTGCACCATGTGGGTTAGCTCCACATCTGGCCTGGGATTGTGCTGCAGTCTGTGGATTGCTTCAGTGTGGTGCTTAACCCCTTGTGCCACCAGGGAGGTCCCATTACTACATCTATCTTATGGAATTGCCACAACCACCCTGATGAGGAGGTGTGACATTTAGTCTCTTCAGAGAAAAGTGAACCCTAGAAGGGCTTATTTTGCCCATGGCCACAAAATATTAAAGCTAAGCACTTAGAACCACGCAGGAAGTCAAAACGGACTTTTTTTTTTTTTTTTTTAAGAATTATTGGGCCTCCCTGGTGGCACAGCACTGTGAAGCTATCCCCAGCCAGCCAGGGAGCTACCCACATGGCACAGCAGTGTATTTCAGTCAGTCTGCCTGTTCTGCTCCCCACTCTGTCTCTGGTTAATCCTGTCATCCCCCACACCTCTGTCTGGTCTGTACCCCAGTTCTTGTATGCATAATTAAAAAAAGAAAATGCCAGATACTTGTTTAAAAAAGATTTATGTATAGAAGAACTGGGGTACAGGCCAGAGGTGTGGGGGGTGAGAGGATTCACCAGAGACAGAGTTGGGAGCAGAACAGGCAGATCTACTGAAATACACTGCTGAGGGGAGCAGCGGGCGAGACAGGAGAGGTCTGCTGCACCATGTGGGTCAGCTCCTTGGTCGGGGATCGGACTCTTGTCACAGTAGCTGGAGATTACTTGATAGTGCTAAGACTTAAACTCCTGCACCACCAAGAAGGCCCTGGAGTAAGTTTCTCTAAAAAAAAAAAAATTATTGGGGCCTCCCTGGTGGCGCAAGGGGGTGGGATGCAACCTATGGAGCTGTCCATGGCCATTGCAGCATGAGTTCAATCCCCAGCCAGGGAGATACCCACATGGCGCAGCAGGCCTCTCCTGACTCACCCGCTGCTCCTCTCAGCAGTGTTTCAGTCGATCTGCTTTTTCTGTTCCCCACTGTCTCTGGTGGATTCTCTCATGCCCCACCCCCACCTCTGGCCTATACCTGTTCTTGTATGTGTAAATAAATCTTGAAAAAAAAAAAGGAGTACAGGTATTTACTAAAACACCACCAAGGCAAACAGTGGACAAGACAGGATAGGTATGGGCCATATGTGGGTTAGCTACTGGCTGGGCACTGAATTCAGGCCGTAAAGGTGATAACCCTGAGACTTAACTCTAGGCCACCAGGGAGGCCGTTCTTAACTCTTTATCATGGAGTTTCAAACTTAGCATAATATTGTTATAACTTTTACATACCTATCACCCAGATCCAACAATTCTAAGCACTGAACATTTTTCAAGCTGCAGGCTCCATAAACACTTCAATGTTTCAGGGCCTGTAACTGTTCTTACACCAGGGAATGGGGCACGTCACACATCTCATTCCACAGACCACTGTCCTCTTCCACCAACAGGTGGGCTGGGCCCCAAAGGAAAATGCAGCTTGGGCTCCCTCAGTGGCCTAGGGGTTATGTCTCAGCACTATCACTGCTGTGGCCTGAGTGGCAGACCTCTCCTGTCTCACCTGCCTCTCCCCTTAGCAGTGTATTAGTCAGTCCATCTGCTCTGCTACCTACTCTGGTGAATCCTTTCATCCCTTGCACTTCTGACCTACACCCCAGTCCTTTTAGGAAAAATAAATCTTTAAAAAAAAATGCAATTTCCTATGGCTTGTGGTCAAGTTCAAAATACAATCTCCAAAGTCTGCTTGGACAACCCTTAAAAACTTGAGTATGGGAAACTTCCAGTTGAATTTTGACTAAAGGAAGCTCAAAATTGAGTCAGAAAACTGACTCAACAGTTTATTAGAATTGCTTGTGCAGAACAGTGCCAAACTGTCTCAGAAGCCTTAACAATTCCTTGTGCATTCACTTTATGTTCTTGCCCACCAAAGGATCTAAGGCGACTAAACACTAACATTTCTGCTGTTTAGTGTATATACACTCACACTAAATGGTAAAAGTCTAGGTCATGTCTTGCTACCAAACTTAAAAATACTTTGCTAGCAGGGGAGGGGTGGGAGATGCAGTAGGAATGCAGCTGGGCAGGGATTGTGCTGTCTTATCTGGGTAAGCAGAGGAGTGGCAGGGAATACTGGTCACAGATTGTTATCGAACATGCTTTTTGACATGTCATCTCTAGTACTTGCTGTAACTTCTCCAGCCTCATTAAACCCAGTAAGTGGTGCAAGAGTGTGGGGTAGCATCAGGGACCTGCTCTGTCCCTAACACGTCACATTTAACAGGTCCTCTGTGAGGTGGGCACCACTATTCCTATTTGACATGCTGAAAATGAAGTAGAGATATCAATCTAGGAAGCAGGGAGTAGAAATAATTTCAGCTTAAATGGAGTGGGAGTGGCAGGGCTTGAGATTTATTCCAGACACTGAAAGGGGGAGAAGCCCATAGAATGAATCCATGGCCAAGTTTTAGGTATAAGAAAGATCCAGGGCTTCAAAATACAAGTCTTCGCAGACCAGGGGTATCCAGTCTTCAGATCTTGGGTCAGAGGCTAACTTTCAAATATCTCTGAGTGTTTTGGAGTTTCTGATCTTGGGTTCAAGCAACAGCAATTATTCTGGGCAAACTGAAGCAGAGGACTAAAACATCCGGAAAGGGATTTGAATCATGTTGAGATTTTATTTATAGTGCCAAAGAAAACCAACTGTGTGGATTCTCTAGGCCCCTTAGACCAAATAAACAGCAGGAGACTGGGCCTCCCTGGGCAGATTACAAGGAACCTTCTGAAATAGAGCAGATTGATCAAACTGTTACTCAGGTCTGGGGGGCTATTTCTCATCTTTGTTGATGTCACACATCCTGCCTCAGGTCACACTGGGTTAAGCGGGACATACTTCTGAGGCAGGATCAGAGGTGCATGCTCACATAAAGGCAGTAAAGGTGGTCCTCCTGCTACTGTCCCCCCTCCACCCATCCTAGAGCTCCCTGAAGACCCAGCACAAAATGCTTCCTGAGACCAAGTACCCAATTGTGGGGGTAACCACAGTGCCCCTTTACCTGAGCCTGGCCAGTGGACAGGTCCAAGAAGTTGCAGAGTCTCTGTCTACCTGCCAAGGTAAATTCATGACATTTGGGATAAGAAGGTCCTTGAGGCCTGTCCTAACTAACTAGCTGGAAGACCCAGGAGGCAGATGGCCACGCTAGACTATCTCAATACATGCTGTCAGTTCAGGCTTCCAACAGTACTATAGACTGGTTGGCTTATAAATAGGAAGTTCTCTCACGGTTTTGGAGGCTGCAAGCCTGAAACCAGGGTGCCAGCATGGTCAAGCTCTGGTGAGGATCATCTTCCAGGTTGTAGACTGCCAACTTCTGGTATCCTCCTCGCACAGTGGAGAGCAGATGGGGGAAACAGGCTTGCTTGACTCTTTTAAGGGTACTAATCTCACGAGATCATCAATCCTAATGACCTCCTGAAGACTCAATCTCCCCAATACCATCATAGGTGAGTGTTGGGGGTTAGAACTGAAGGGTTCAACATATTTTGAGAACTTTCAGTCCATTAGCACATGCTTTGCCCCCCACCCCCAAATGTTGGAATGCTATGTAGGATGTCCTGGAACGTGCTAGCTGGTGGTATTTGGCTCAAAGTCAGCCAGGTGGAAACTGAACACAACTCATTAGAAACTCTAAATGGACTAACCAAACTCATGGGACTCTAATACCCACCTGAACCTGGACCAAAGGGTAATGTAGAATTGAGGAACTAAGACCAACCAGATGTGTAAAACCAGGCCATTGCCACCATCTTACCACTGAAGACCCTCACTACCAAAGATCATTAAACTCCCATGACAGAAGGCCCTGCTACCTGTACTCAATGGCCTATTTATCAAACAAGCTCAATCACCTCACATCAGAAAATGTGAAAGGCCCATCCCATTAAGGATGAAAAACCAAAGCAAAGTAAAATACCTGGAAAGCAGCAGTGTGGATTTGAATCCTGGAATCTGAATCCAATGTCTGAGCTCTCAGAACCCTGTATTCAAACCAGGATATTTCCATGTTTCTCACATCAAGGTGAATTTACTATACCTCTCCCGACCCATCATTTCAGGGTGAGGCACTAGAATCACCTTTTAGGGCAATGAATGTTTAGTTTCCACCACGTGGGAACTACATTCTACATTCTCATAACAATCCTGAGGGCACCTATCCAATGTTGAGAAGTTAGGGGAACTGAAACCCAAGCAGTAACCTGATTCTCAAGCTGTCACTAATCAAGACAATGGGATGAAGAGACCATCTCAGGAAACACAATCCCAGCCATAAGGGAGTATCACCCCAATATTTATTTTTTAAAAAAGATTTTTTTATGCATATAAGAACTGAGATCTAGGCCAAAGGTTGGGGGTGGTGAGACGATTTACCAGAGAGCAAGCGGGGAAAACAGGTCTGCTGCACCATGTGGGTAGGCTCCCTGCCTGGGGTTCAAATTCATGCCAGTGGCTGGCGATAGCTTGATAGTGCTGAGACTTTAACCCTGCGCCACCAGGAAGGCCCAACCCCCAATTTTTAACTCAAGGTCTTCTTTCACCATGTAAGCAGCCCCAGCCCACCATCCCAATCAAATTGTCTTCTGAAAGCCTCCCTGATTTTTCCTATAATTTACTAATTGGGCTGAGTAAGGAAAAAGCACTATCAATATCATTGTTTCCATGTATCACTTTTAATAAGCTCCTTGAAGGACATCCTAGACACTACATGAGACACAACAGAATATTTTTTCTTCCAGTATTTAAAAAAAATGACATTCACAAATATTTTTAAGAAACTTCTATATAATCAGGGTGTTGATCTTGAGTAAAAAAACAGAGCTAAGCAATCATGTTGTTGATGCTATTTTTGTATAGGTACATTCAGAAATTGCTTCCTAACCTGTGTACATGTTTTTTCAAATGTCTGTAGATGCAGATAAAAAAAAAAAAATAGTCTGGCCTTTTTTTTGCCAGAACCAATAATCCTGAGAGCCCAAACTAAAAGAAAAAATACCCAGACTCTACAATGTCCTAGAATTTGTCTTTAAACGGGAGAAAACTTTTTAAAATACAAGTGGAGCTTTCTAAAAGGTTTTTAACAAGCTACCTTGGGAGCTCAATTCAAAAATAGAGGTTGATGTACCAAAACAGATGTTTCAGTGCAGCTCCAAAAATCTTTAAAATACAGCCATTTGGAAGAATGATCCTGGATGAGAAGTTTTATTCCTTGTGTATCTGAGAACAGTAAGAAGGAGGACAACTGTGATGCCAGTAAGAACAGGCGAACATGCTCACCTCCCAGGGATGATTAAAGATGCTGAGGGTTAGACAACAGGGACACCCTTCTTCTCCATGCCTAGCAGGTTATAGGGGAGACAGATTTTCATTCCTCCCCAAACAGACTAGCTGTGACAAGCACCCAAAAGGCACGGGAGTTCTAGAAATGCTACCAGGAGGGTCAGATGAAATATGGGCAGACATTGTGTGGACAAAAGTAAAGTTGAAGGGAATGTAACAGGGCTGGTAGTCAGGTGTGCTCAGTAGCAACATACAAGTCTCACCTACATTAGGTGTGCATGCCTCATCTCAGTTGTCATAATTGTCTCTGTAATTCCCTCCTGAGTAGCGGTCATAACCACCCTGGCTTCTGGGAAAAAACAGAGTGTTAGAGAAATGTGTTATGTACCATTAAATATATCTATAAATTCTGCATTGCCTTCTGTAAGTACCACAATATAAACTTTAATAACAGAACATATTAAGCACAGATACTGTGTAGAAATCACAAAATTTACACATTAACATTGGCCATAATAAACGCAACACGGTAAAATAAACGTGTGACACATACTGCAGATGATAGTTACGTGATCTTACAACTTATTAATGCATTGTATTTAACTTGAAGAGTTAACTTTCATACTTATTTCAGGTTTATTACAGTCGACAGAAGCTAACACTGGTGACACTGAAGCACGTATGAACACAAAGGTAGTGGCTCTCTTTAGAGAAAAGCAGCACCAGCAGCATAACCCAAAACCCTTGGTTACCCACCTGCCACCATAGTCTCTGGACCTTCCATATCCATATCCATATCCTCCAGGTCGACTGTCATACCTGCCACTCCCATAGCCCTGGTCCCCACCACCTGCAGCAGGACAAATTTTTAAATGGCAATTATCCAGACACAGGCCACTAACAGGTGGCTGTTGTCCAAACCTCATGATCAAACTTACCACTGCACTTACCTCTAGAATAGCTACGACCACGTCCATGGGCCCCAAAGGAACCCCCTCTGGTTCCTCGGGCAGACTTGCCTGCATGGTCCACACGGATCTGGCGACCATCTAGGGACTAGGTGTGGGGAGACATAAGGAGGATGGGTTGGCGGTCAGACAGGGCAGCGGTGAGGGAAGAATAGGGCAGGGCGGTGGGCAAAAGAGCCCAGAAACTCCTGTGGGCACCAGGTTCTGGGTGCCATTTCCAGAAAGCTCCTTTGACCACAATGGCATTATTAGGAGCCATAAAAATCCCACAAAATGACCTGTATCCACCGTGTTCCCCTGCTACTACTTACATCTTGACTGAACTCAGGCTGAGTTCTCCTCCCCACTCCTCTAAGCTGCCCGACTATTAGGGCTAGACAGACACCTCTCTTGGTTTGAGGCTTCAGAGTCCATCCCAGAAGACTCACGAGGTCCTCTCCGGGCCAGGCCCCAGGTCTGCAGACTCTACTACCTAAGCCCAGGGCAGGTCAACAATCCACGGGTGGCTTCTCGGCCTCATGCAGGACCAGTCGTCGCCTCCCAGGCAGCCCGGCTCTGTCTGCCGCTGCCCTCCACCCCCTAGAACAGAAGGCAGTCATGCTCCTGTGAGTGGGCACTGCAGGGCTTGGTGGCCGCGCTGCCCCTAGCAGACAGAGGGGAAAACAGAAAGAATGGTGGAAGTGGCAGATGGGGACAGGGCCCCTATGCAGGTAGGAGGCCTTACCTCTCCATTCATGGCTCTCATGGCATCTGAAGCATGCTCTGGGTTGGTGAAGGTGATGAAGCCAAAACCCCGGGATCGCTGAGTCTCCCGGTCCTTGACAACGACCACTAAGGAAGGGAGAGGAAATAGTTAAGAGCAAAGCTAAGTAACAAGGAGTGTCAGGTACAGAGAAGGCTCCTTGCACCAGCCCTGCAATGAGTAACCAGGTTCTCAGTCTAAGCCTACAACTTCAGGCTTAGAAAGAAAAAAAAGGGATTATGTCAAGAAGTCTGGGGTCCTGACCTTTCTTCCACTATTTCTTGAAATGAAAAGGGCCCTGGCCATGGGTTTGCTCCATATTCTCACCCTCAGCAATGGGACCAAAGCTGCTGAAGTGGTCTTCCAGAGCCTGCTCATCAGTGTTGAAGTTGAGCCCTCCCACGAAGAGCTTCCCTTCTTCAGAAGACATGGCAGTGAATGTGTCCTGTGGGGAGAGTATGAAACAGTAGAAATGAAAGAGGTCGAAGAAAGGATGAAGAGAAGCAAGGCAGCGAGAACAGAGAGGCGACAAGAAGCGACACAAGGTGTAATTAAGGAAACGGCATGTAGAAAGGCCGGAATCTGCCGGGCCCGCGCTGCGACGTAGCCATTTGGGGGCCGCCTTCGCGCATGCCCACAACATCCCCTGCCACCACGCCCGTCATTTTGTGCCGCCGCGCAGGCCCAGAACACCCTCGCGTTTCCTCCGCGCCCGCAGAACAAGATGGCGGCGGTCACATGGGGGAGGTAAAGGGGGGGTGTCCCCTTAGTTTTCGGATGTCGCGTGGTCACTGCCGCCACCGATGCTGCGAGCCCTGCCCGACATCCCTCGCACTCAGATATCGCGCCCTTGGTTATCCCAGACCAAGAGTTCCATCTCGGAGCAGAGGGCTCCGCCCGCAGCGGAGAAGAGCAAGCCTACGTGTCGGAAGCCGCTACTAGCAGATCTGGCTCTCGCCCGCGCGCGCGCAGCAGTGAGGGGAGGAGCAGTCGCTCGGCAAAACGCACCTGGAAGTCCTGGAGTAAAACGGCCAAAAGGACAGCTGCTGCTGAGGAGCCGAGAGACTGGGGAGGTTGCCGCGCGGGAAGACGCTTGATAAAGTGTACGTAGCGGTCAACGTCACGGAACGTCTACCCGCGGGCGCGCCTACGTGCATGCTCATTGGCTGAGACCAGCGAGGGGCTGGTGAGTGGAAGTGACGGCTGAGCAAGAGGAACAATGCGCGCGGCGCGCTTAGGGGCATTTGAAGTGAGCTTTGTGCGCAGGTGCACCTTCCACTAGCCCAGTCGTTTTTGTTCCTTCCGCGCTCGAACCTCATCTCCCTCCCCTTTCGATTTCGAACGTCACCCCAACTTCCCTGACGTCATTTCCCCATTGGTTCTGATCGCTTCCTCGTCAGCTCAGTCGTCTTTCACTAGGTCCCTGACGATATAGTTATTATCTTCTCATAACCTCTTTCACCTTTTAATCCTCTAACTTTATGTTACTCAAGAGCCTGACGTTTTATTTATTTTTTTTAGATTTATGTATTTATTTATACAAGCACTGGGTAGTCAAAAGTGCGGGAGGGTGAGAGAGTTCACCAGAGTCAGAGCGGAGAGCAGAACAGGCAGACTGACGAAGTGCAATGCTGAGAGGAGCAGCGGGCGGCAGGAGAGGTCTGCGCGCCATGTAGGACCCTTACCCGGTGGCCGGGGATCGAACCGGCTCTGCAGATGCTGCGGGCAGCTTCGCAACCCAGCGCTCAACTGCTGCGCCACCGGGGAGGCCCAAGAGCCCGACGTTTTAGACCCCACTGTCAATGAGGGCATCACCCTTCACCATCCATAAAAGATCAGGCCCCAGTTCACTAACTGTCGATCCTGAGTCTCTGTTTTCATCTCTGTGCCTAACATCTAGCCACCCATCCTGGGGCCCTTTCCCCTGGCATCATCCTTGACTTCAGCCGTCAACGTTATCTGATAACCTTCTGAAGCCAGTCCCTTGCATTTCCAGCCAGTAGACAGACTCCTGAGGTGCCTCCAAAAAACAGAAGGCTCCAATATTCAGAAGGCTCCAATATTGGGTGTAAATCCCAATCCACAGAAAGATTTTTTGCTGTCACACAGGGTGGCTGAGACCTTTGTCCAAAAAGAGAACTTTCACAGTGCTCAATGAACTTATCCAAAGTAAGGTTTGTCTGCGCCCACTGCCCACAGCTTAGTCTTGTCCAGCCTACAGAATGTTTGAACTACCTTTCCAATGAATGGATTTGTCAGGCTTTTCATTTCCAAACTCCCCATCAAGGAGGGCTACTTTGCCCTTAGGGACTCATCCACAAAAGGGATTTGTGCAGCCTTCTAAAGAACAGTTTGCCGAACATAGACTAGATTTGTTAACTTTTGGAGTACAGTATGCTACACATCCATAAAATGGTTTTGTCCGACTTTTGCCTCCTATTCCCAGGATGAATGTGAATAAACTTCACATTGTCCACATACATACTGATCTTAAATAGCCCTCAGAAAATCTGAGCTCCCATGCAAAAAAGAAATATTTGTGGGGCTTCCCTGGTGGCACAAGGGGTTAAGCAGAGCACTGTGAAGCTATCCGCAACCTCTGCAGCATGAGTTCGATCCCAGGCCGGCCACGGAGCTACCCACATGGCGCAGCAGACCTCTCCTGTCTTGCGTGCTGCTCCCCTTGCTGCATCATAGGGGATATGCACATTTTGGGGGGTTATTTTTTTCCACATTTAATTCTATAAGCAGTGCCAGTTTGTCATCTGGAATGGGTGGAGTAATGTATGGGGGTGCCTACATTGCCCAGTCTCTGTCAATACTTAGCATTATCCAGCTTTCTAAATTTTTCTGGTCTAACAGGTATATTGATATTTCATTAATTTTAATTTTTTATTATTTTTTAAAGATTTATTTATTTATACATGCAAGAACTGGGGTACAGGCCAGAGGTGTGGGGGGTGAGAGGATTCACCAGAGACGGAGTGGGAAACAGAACAGACAGATCCACTGTGCTGAGGGTAGCACAGAAGGCGAGTTAGGAGAAGTCTGCTGCTCCATGTGGGTTAGCTTCAGTGGCAGTGGATAGTTTCATGGTGCTGAGACTTATCCTCTTGCACCACCAGGGAGGCCCTATTATTCTAACTTTTAATGTAAGTTTATTGTAATTCTAAAAAAATGTAATGGAAGTTTTATTGTGATTAAATTGAATTTGTAGACTTGGAGAAATAACATCTTTTTAAAAAATAGATTATCTTTATGATATTAGGCTAGATTTCTTTTTAAAAAAGATTTTATTTATTTTTGTGTAGAAGAACTGGGGTGTAGGCCAGAGGTGTGGGGGGTGAAAGGATTCACCAGAGATAGTGGGGAGCAGAACAGGCAGATCCACTGAAATACACTGCTGAGGGGAGCAGCGGGAAGACAGGAGAGGTCTGCTGTGCCTTTGGGTCACCTCCCTGGCCAGGGAGGGAACTCATGCTGCAGTGGCTGCCAATAGCTTCATAGTGCTGCGTCTTAACCCCTTGTGCCACCAGGGAGGCCCCTCATCTAAGTTTTCAAATGTAATAGTTTATAGCTTTAGCCTCTTTCAGTGTCTGCAATTTCCCCCCTTTTTTGTTCTGCATTTTGTATTCTTTTAAAGCAATCCTGGCAGCGGTCTCTCAATATTTTGAAAATAACCAGCTTTTTATTTCACTATTCTTTTTTTTTCAGTTATCTTTTTGTTTCTCTCCTTTATTTTTTAAAATATTTTATATAATTCTTACATCATTTTTCATCTTTGTACAATGTATGCATTTTCATTTTGGTCATATTCCCCATACAATTGCACCCTCCGCCCCTTATTTTGACTCTACCTCTTCCTTTCCCCGCCCCTTCATAATCCCCCCCACTAGTGTGTCTCTGGTTTATAGTTACTTCTTGATTTTGATTATTACTTTGCATTGATTAGTCTTTTTCCTTGTCTCTTTTTAGGTTTTCTAAATTCCTGCTATGAGTGAGACCATCTGGTTATTTTTCTTTTTCTTTCTGACTTATTTTGCTGAGCATGATCCCTTCCAGCTCCATCCATGTTGCTGCAAACTGCATGTGTTTATCTTTATATTTCGCTATTCTTATTGCTTTTTTTTTTTTTTTTTAAATAGAGGCATGTTTTATTTATTTATTTGTTTGTTTTGTTTATACATGCACTGGGTACAGTCAGAAGCGCGGGAGGGTGAGAGAATTCACCAGAGCCAGAGCAGGGAGCAGAGCAGGCAGAAGGACCGAAGTACACTGCTGAGGGGAGCAGCGGGCGGCAGGAGAGGTCTGCGCGCCATGTGGGACCCTCCTCTGGTGGCCGGGGAGCAGCCGAGGATCGAACCGGCGCCGCAGAGGCTGCAGGCAGCTTCGCAACCCAATGCTCAACCGCTGCGCCACCGGGGAGGCCCTCTTATTGCTTTTCTTATTCTCTATTCACTTAGTTCTTTCCTTACATTATTTCCTCCATGACTCAGTGGAGTTACGGGTTTGTTCCTGTGTTTTCCAACTTCTTGAATTGAACACTTATTTTTCAACCTGTCTTCTTTGCTGATATATGTATTTATAGCTATACACTACTTCTAGTAACTGATTTTGCTGTCTCCCACAAATGTTGCATGTAGTATTATTATTTAGTTCTATTTCTAAAGTCAGTTCTATTTCTAAAGCTCCTTTCTCATTTCTTATTTCATCCAAGGACTATTTATTTTTACATTTTAAAAAGACAGGTTTATTAGGAATAGGAGAAAAGAGAGGTATCTGTAGAGTCACAGGGGGCCAGGAGAGCTGCCCAAGGATTATTTAGTAGTTACTTTCTGAAAGTGGGGGTGGGGTTCTTTAGCTTATTACTAACTTTATTTTGTATTATGATCAGAGAACATGCTCAATATTGATACTTCGAATTTATTGATCCTTTCTTTGTGCTTTAACGTGGTCTGTTTCTGTAATTGTTAAGTATAAGCATTAGGTATATCTTTATCAAGCTTCAAACTATCGTTCAGATCTTCTTATAAATATGTGCTTATGGCAAACATATCAATGGTATGTCCTTCTTTGTCTTTTGTGTTCTTAAGTTTTGTTATCTATCAGGATGGCTATCCTAGCTCTCTGGGCTTTTATCAGTCTGTTGTTATCTTGCCTTCATCCTCTTCTTTTCAACATTTCTAATTTTTTTTGTTTTTAATTTTTAAAATATTTATTTAGTAGAAGAACTGGGGTGTAGGCTAGAAGTGTGGGGGGTGAGAATATTCACCAGAGACAGAGTGGGGAGAACAGGTGGATTTATTCAAATACTCTGCTAAGGAGAGCATCAGGAGAGATAGAAAAGGTCTGCTGCGCCATGTGGGTTAGCTCCCTGCCTGGGGATCAAACTCAGGCCACGGTGGTGATAACACTGAGATTTAACACCTTGGTCACCAGGGAGCACCCCCCCCCCCAATTTCTATGTTTTGTATATGTGTGTATACCATTGGACCTTTCCTTTATCCAGTGAGGATCTCTGTGTTTACAGTATTTTTCTGTTCTTTCTTTTCTACCATCATACTCATACCAATTTTCTTTGGGTCCTTTTTAATCTCTTGCTCTGATTTTACATTCTAACATTATCTCCTTATTGTATTTATTTAAAATTTTTCATCTGGGCCTCCCTGGTGGCACAAGGGGTAAAGTCTCAGCACTGTGAAGCTATCTGCAGACTCTGCAGCATGAGCTCGATCCCTGGCCAGGAGCTACCCACATGGCACAGCAGACTCCCCTGTCTCACCTGATGCGCTCCTCAGCAGTGTATTTCAGTCAGTCTGCCTGTTCTGCTCTCCACTCTGTCTCTGGTAAATCCTCTCACCCCCCCGCACCTCTGGCCTGCACCCCAGTTCTTGTATGCATGAATAAATCTTTAAAAAAATAAAATTTTTTCATCTGTCTGTGATTCTTTAGTAGTTACTTCTTTCATCAAGTCAGTGTTTCTGCTTCAGATATTATATATTACTGAGTGGGGCAGCCAGCTGCCAATGTGGTACCCAATGATCCCTGCCTCCTGCTATTCATACTCTGTGTCATTCCTTCCAAGTTGTGCTAGGGTTGGTCTGTGTGACCAAGAAAATACAACAGAACCAATGGCTTGTCATTTCTGAGAGTAAGCTGTAATAGACACTGTGGTCCTGACTTGGTCACGGTCTCTTGCCTGCTTGCTGGGACTGTGTTGTAAGGCTCTCCACACAGAGGCTCTAGTGGTGAGAAACCCAAGCCTCCTGCTAACAGCTCTGTGAATGTGCCATGCTGGGTCCTTCAGCCAGGTCATGCTTTCAGCCGACTGCAGTCCTCGTCCACAACTTGACTGGAACCTCAGGGGAGATGGAGATAAAACCACCTGGTTAAGCTGCTCCCAGATTCTTGACCCCCAGAAAGGTAATAGACATGGGTTGTTTTAAGCTGCTGACTTGGGGTCATTTTTCACATGGTAATAGATTACTAATACATCCAGTTAATTTTTATCTGGAGGTAGTTATACTACTCTGGTATCTAGTTATTTTGGTAGTGAATCAATCCCCTGATGTGAGCTGCTGTCCTGGCTGGTAAGACATATTGAGGAAGGCTGAAGGCCAGACTCGACTCTGCTCTGTCATCTGGAGTTCAAGGGCTAAAGGGATGTTTGGGGAGGCGAGCCAGTGGTTAGACAGTCTAGGCACCATAAAAGCAGAGACATTACTCCCTTTTGCTATTGCACCACCTGACAATTCCTCTGGTAGAGGTTTCATCTTTAACCTCCTAGGTGTCACCACCAGCCCTGGTGTCTGGAGGGAAGAGGTGGAGGACTGATTGCCATTGACTGCTCATTCCTCCCCTCATACCGCCCCACCGGACACCTGTACCAGTGCTTTAGGTTTCTGCAGGGAGGGGGCAGACAAGGACCTCCCCAAGGCAACACACGGGACAGGCAGAACTTAAATCACTAACTGCCTCTTATTTGCGGTCCCCAGTCTGTTGTTAAAAACATACCAGTTAAACACAGTCTTCCATGTCCCCACAGGTCTCTCATAGCTGTGTGAAATTTCTGGAATTCATGTTTCCCTCTAGTTTCTCCAGGTTTGCTCTGGGCAAGGGAATCAGCAGCTTGTGCTGTCTGTCATCTTGGCAGAAACCAGGAGCCCCCAGAATCCTCTGGACATAGAGGTTTCTGCTCTTCGGGCTAGTTGAGCCTCCTATTCAGCTACGACCCCTCTGACCCTCAGAAGTCCCAGCTGCTACACACAGAACTGACTTGTCTGACCCTGCAAACAGTGAGCTGATTAATCATGGAATGTACCCATTGAGTGGCAGCTGATTACTGACAAAAGAGACAGCTCAGCTCCTCAGAGGGCCAGATACCTCCAAATCTTGTATGGCCCTCCCGGGAAGACATCCAGTCCTTTAGCCACACAATGTACTGATTGGACCCACAGTTGTGGAGAGCCCTAGACATGGATGGGCACAGGGACAGAGTCCCACACTGAGGACTGGTCAGTTTTTCCCCTTCACTGCTGGGGGTGATGGAAGCCTTTTAAGGGCGATCTCCAGTTTTATATGGTGTTCTTGGAAAAGACAGCCTGATCTGCCTCATTTCTGCCAGCAGGGCCTAGTGCAGCACTTCTGGCCAGAACCTGAAAGGCCAAGGCCAAGGCCTGAGGGCCCCCAGTTGTCTCATCTGCTATGTTGGTGGAGGATGGTCTCTGGCCCATGAGAGAATCTGCCTCTGAGAGGGTAAATGGGAGAAAGGACCTTTTTGATCAATAACTTTTAAATAAGTAGGTGACATACTTTATGGCCTGAGCTTTATCAATGATTGATTTGTTTGTCCCATGAGCTGAAAACCCAGTTTAGGGCTCAGAGCCCCAGACATGGCAAGGCTCCACAGTACCTCAAGCTGGCCCCAAACCAAGTGACAAGAGCCTTTGACCCCTGCCCAGGACTGCCAGCATTAGGCTCTAAGACTCACAGGAAAGGGTCTGGTTTCTAGAATCAGTGACAGGTGGTGGCTGGCTCCGTGTTCCTAAGTAGCCTGTGCTTTCCAGTCTTTGGAATGACACTTGCCCTTTTTGGATCAGGACCACTCTCTCTTATTCCTCATTCAGAGGCCTGTCCTGAAAACGCATTCACAGCCCTAATTCAGATGCTTACAGGCCTACAGATGCACCAGAAAACAGCCTCAGGTCTTCTTCCAGCCGTCCTGGACCTGGGCTCACCTGCTCGAACCCAGTCTCAGCATCTGCTCTCCCACCAAAGGGGAAGCAGGAACCACCCTCCACCAAGCCGAGTACTTCGGCTCCCTCAGGTAAAGATTCCCAGTCCCTGCGGAGTCCAGCTACAACAAAACCCAGGGAGGCGGCAGAGAAATACACAGACCACAGTGACCTTCATGTGTGCAAAGTACAGTTGTTAAAAACAAAATAATAAAAACAGAAAAGAGGCTGTGGCCTCTGTGGGGCAGTGCTAAAGCAGAGCCCCCTATTCTCAGACCTGGGGAAGAGGGCCCCATGCCTGGACAGGTCTAGGGTTGGCAGGCAAGGAGTGGGATCTCATATGTAGGCCCTCACGGTAAAGAACTGGTGGGGCTCCTGGGCTGGAGGGAACCTGATCAAGATGGAGCTGTGGCCTCAGCCCCCTCCTCTGAATCCCACACCTCTGACTGCAGATAATCAGCAAAGAGTGCCTTGGCGCGGCGGAGGACGCGCCCCAGGTGGTGTTTTCGCACCAGACGGTCAAAGTGCATGGCCAACTCATTGTAATCCAGCCCGTTGCGCATGATGTGGTCACGGTGCTCCAGCAGGATGGCCAGGCAGAGGAAGAGCATGAATGGGTTTCCCCGGCCAAACTCTTGGGGTGGGGGCAGGCCCAGTGGGGGTGGAGGTGGCAGGGACTTCCCAGGGTCTTGTGGGGAGCTCACCTCTGGCATCAAAGGGGATCTGGCAGCCACATCGCCAGCAGGAGAGGCCTCCTGGGTGGATGGCGGAGAGGAGGAGGATGGGGAGTCAGGGCGGGAAGAGGAGGAGAGCAGTGGGTCTGGGGAGTTCAGCAGGGGCTCAGAGAGGGACTTGGAGCTAATGAGGGCAGCTGGGTGGGGCAGCTGGACCAGTGAGTCCCTCCTGGGGCCTGTGTTATCCCTGAGTTGCTGGAGGTCATCCAGGCTGGCTTGTCGCAGGAGACGCCCCCCGCCACCAGGCCCCTGGCTGCTCGTGGCCAAGTGATCAACAGCATCTTCGAAGGCGCTGCTGCCTCCACCGGCAGGCCGCAGCATGTGCCTTTGTCGCACTGGCCGCCCCCTGTGGCCACCGAAGCCAGCGTCTGCCACTTGGATGGGTGGTCCCACGAGCTCTACCTCGTGTTCAGGAGGATCAGGGGGCAGCGAACTCCAGGTGACCTCAAGCATGCGGAGGGCATCGTCAAAGGCAAACTCACGCTTGAGCTCGAGCAGCAGCCAGCGGTAACAGAAGAAGAGGTCGTCAGCACCGGCTTCTTGTAGGTACTGGTAGAAGTCAGGGTCGGCATGTCGCAGCAGCAGCTTGAGGTGGGCAAACTTGGTGGCCATGGCGCGGCCATCGGGATGGAAGTTTGCGGCCAGGCGCTTCATGATGCCACAGAAGCAGACGAAGGCATGGCCTTCGTGGTCCATGACGGCGAGGATGGGCGAGGCCAGGTCGCTCATGCCCTGGCAGTAGGACACCTGGGGGTGGGTAACAGCATAGGTGGTGAGCAGGTCGTGCAGTGCCCGCAGGTGCGGGCCATCCTCAGGCCCGGCATAGTAGGGGTGGGCCCGGTCGGTCCGCAGCACGTCCTTGAGGACTGTGCTGCGGATGAATTCCAGGTCCTCAGGGCTTGCTCGCTGTGCCCACTCGCTCTTCAGCTGTTCATACTCGCGGCTCTTGCGTTTCATGTAGTCCATCCGCTCGCGACCTGTCAGGCCATCTGGGTACACATTCAGCAGGTACCGCCACACCACCTGCCCGGGGGGGAGGGGGAAAGGACCAGACCGAGGGTCTACACATGTGCCATGGACTCCAGTATATCTGTCTCCCCCAACTCACCTGCTGTGGGTCTCGGTCCTCCTTTGGGAGCATCTGCCTTCCCATTTCTGACTCCTAGCCCCCACCAAAGGAGAACTGGCTGCTCTGGTATCTCTTTATGCCGTCCCATGACACTGTGGTCTCTGCGCGTCTCCTGAGCTAGTTGTGACAGCAGGAGCGATGGCTCCAACACGTGACAGAGGAGTCTCACCTTTCTCAGGGAGGGCTCAACACCCCCGTGATAGATACGCAGGCGCAACTCGTCTGGGCGGGAGAGCTGGCCCTCGTGGTCCAGGTAGGTGTGAAACTCAGCATCGCTCAAGGGGGGCTTGAAGGGCTTGAGATCTTCCCCATAGGACCAGCTCAGCACCTGTTGGACCTTAGACAAGGTGCGGCCGACCTGTGATAGAAGGAGGGAGAGGCTATCTATCAGTTGGGTGGGCGAGGGGCAGATGCCAGCCAGCATGCTCAGAATCTGGGGTGTCAGGTAGGCCCTGCCCCCCAGCCACAGCTGCACCCCAGGAGTCCCTGACACCACCTGAGAGAGGATGGACTGTGTGATGGGCAGAGCAGCTGTTGTCAATGATGACCGTTTCTCAGCCAGCAGCACGTCGGAGCCAATGACATCCTTGGGGCTGATTATGTCCCAGTCTTCCAGCAGCGGGCCTGGGCACACAGAGTGACACAATATGATAATGGGGCTGAGAACCCCAGCCCTTGGGGCCAGGTTCCTCTCCTACTGAAGCCAGGTCCCCCACAGGGCAATGGACCACTCCCATTGCCTCTTCCCAGGTCATCCAAAATCATGCCACTGTCTCACAAAATGCTACACAGACTAATATTTTAACAATATAAGGCACTATTTACTGAGTAGTTACTATGTCCCTGGCACTGTGACAAGGACTGAACCTTTGCAAATCTTTTTTAAAAAGATTTATTTTTATTTATTTATGCATACAAGAACTGGGGTGCAGGCCTGTGCACCCTGTGCCACCAGGGAGGCCCCCTTTGCAAATCTTAACTGATTTAATGTTCATACCTTCCTGTCAGTTAGGCACTGGTCTTATGGCTGCTCTTTCTTTGAGGAAACAAGGCAGAGTCAGGGTAAACACTTGCCAAAGGCCCCACAGCTAGTGAGTGAAAGAATTGAAATTTGAAGGCCAGACCCCAAGCTTGAAAGCCCAAGCTCTCAGTCTTGTTCATGCTAGTCCTCCTCCCATAATCAGTATAGACTACCATTATCTTTCTCACTTTCCAGGTTTGGAACAATTAGTAAATGGCCAAGATTCTCCAGGAAGGAAATGACAGGGCTGGGATCTGAACCTCTTTTACCTCCTTCTAGAGCCCAGATAGAGTTTAGGAAAAGTGTCTGTGGACAAGGTATATCATGTATGTTAGAGGAAATAATGCTGTGCTTGCCTTTATCCACTCTGGCCCTTAGAACACTAGCAGAAGTCTGTCCTCTCTCTCTCTTCTTTACTACCCCTTGCATTTATTCAAATGTGATGTGGTGGCCAAAGAAGAGTGGTCACCTGAAGGTAAGCTCAAGACAGTTTTAAGAGTGGTCAACCTTGGTGCCAGAGCTGCTAAGTCAATAGCAGTGTCGGCTTTCCAACTCTACTATATGAAACAAATCAGGGTTGACTTAAGCCACTGCCACTGACAGGCAAATTCCACACCAGCATTTCCATGGAGCCCAGTGCACTTTCTCCTGCAGAGCTGAGGGGGAAGCAAGGTCACATTGGATGTCACTGTCTCTCTCTGGAGGGCTCACAGGGCACTGCAAATTTAAGGGGTCCAAAAGGGAAGCCAAGATCTGCTCTAGACCCTATCTCCTCCACTGCTCCTCAGTGAGTGAACAGCATCTCTGTCTGTTCAGTGGCTTAAGCCAGAAATCTGAGAGATGTCCTTGCTGCCTCTCACGCTCTCAACCTTCAGGACAGAAGTTCTGTGGCTTCTGCTTGCAGAACAGACTTCAACTTCACCTCTTCCCTCTGCCTGGTCCCTCGTCTGAGCCACCACACCTCTCACCTGAAACTATCTCTTAACCAGCCCCTGCTTCCTCTTTGCCCCTCCCTACTTTCTCCCAACAGCTGCCAGAGTGGTCCTTCTAAAACATTAGTCAGGGCATTAAAACACTTAACAGGTAAAATGAAGGTCACACTACCAAAAGTCAAATTAAGGGTCTGAAAGAACAAACAAGGCACATGATTAAAGCTTGATGATTTGGGGGGAGGAAAGGGGTGAGGGGAATACAGCAGTATTATATAGGTATGAAGGAAAATGTCCCTGGGATGAAGAAGCAGCTCCTCTAGTCTTAGATAGGATCCATTAACAAACAGCCTATCCAACAGGCCTCCCTAGTCACATGCTGGTAAAATGCCCAACTTCTAGGACTGAAGAAAAACCCCTGCCAGCCTCTAGACACAAAGACCAGGCTGCTCACAACAGGGAGATGGCCAAACTGGCAATGGAATTCTGTTCCACAACTCTGGGAGCAAGAAGACCATGCATTTCTGGCTCCTACAGAGCACAGAGAAGAAAGTTCTGGGATGCAAGGGCCTGCAGCAGCCAAGACAGTATGCACCATGAGTGTCAGAGAAAGACATTTTTCATCATTAGAGTACATCTGCCCCATGCAGCTTGCTGGAGGAGAAAAAAAGATGCTCCCTAAGCAAATGACCACAGTGGCTCAAGGTGGAGGAAGGCAACAGGAAAGACAAATGGTGACAGGTCCCAAGTTTTTAATCTATTTAGTTAAACAAAATGACAAAGATAATTTAAAAAAGAATAAAAAATAAAAAACAAAAAAAATGACAAAGATACTGTCATAGGGAGTTTGGAATATTAAGTATTACATCAGGATTCCTGAAACATAAGCAGTTTACTGTAAAGAAAAGATGCTGATAGCCTGGAATTGAAATAGGAAAAAAAACATCAAGGAAAACCCAGAAGTTAAGGGCTAGGACCAGAAGAATAAGATGTGGAAATGTCACAAAGTTTTCATTTTAAGGACAAGGGAGGGTGGAAGAGACAGAAGGGAAAGAGTAATTTAAAGAGTTTACTGCATAAAAAGTATAAATCATGCTGTGGGGTTTTAATGAGAGACACACCTAAAACTAGGTGACCCAGAAAAGTTGAAAACGGAATAACCAGGCAGCTCTCATCCTGTATCTACGCAGGCGTCTCTTTTAACAGTCCTTTTACTTTGAAAAGCAGCAGCAGCAGCAGCTCTCTGCCCACCTGTGTCTATGCAGATGCCTCCTTTCCCCCCCTTTTTTTAGTTAACCTGTCCTTTGAAAATTTAAAATATAAAACAACAAAAAAAACTGAATAAACCGAAAGGTATACATGGCAAACAACCCAAGAGAAAGCAAGAGCAGCAAAGCAAATGTCAGAAAAAGCACTGTTCAAGGCCAAAAATGCTACAGGAAAAGGGAGACATGATATGTCAATTTTAAGAAGAACTAACTCAGTAATAAAATGGACGATGGATTTTACAAGCACAAACTCCTCTTGTGGTAAATCTGAACTGATACAACACTATATATATAGGCTTTATATAATCTACTAAGTATGAATGTGCCACATCTCCCTAAAGAAATATCCAAGGGTTTCATTATAGGGTGCTGCCCCTGATCCTGCTTGTCACAATATTTAATATATGTGACACATACTACATTTCCTGACCATAGAATTGTCAAACCTCCCAAACCTTAAACTGAGAGATAGATTCTGTTCCATGCCAATCAGATGTCTAGAGGGTTTTCCCCTGGAATTGGAAAAAATTATTCAAGGTTCACATGAAAGAATTCACATTTAAGAATAGTTCAGACAGGGCCTCCCCGGTGGTGCAGTGGTTGAGCACTGGGTTGCGAAGCTGCCCGCAGCCTCTGCAGTGCAGGTTCGATCCCCGGCTGCCAGCGAGGGTCCCACATGGCACGCAGACCTCTCCTGCCGCCCACTGCTCCCCTCAGCAGTGTATTTTGTCAGTCTGGCTGTTCTGCTCTCCGCTCTGGCTCTGGTGAATTCTCTCACCCTCCCGCGCTTCTGACTGTACCAAGTGCTTGTATAAATAAATAAATAAACAAACAAACAAATAAATAAATAAATCTAAAAAAAAAAAAAGAAAAAAGAATACCCTTAAATTAAAAAAAAAAAAAAGAATAGTTAAGACAAAGAAGAGTTAAAAAAAAGGATACTGGGACAATGGCAAAGTTTGCCTTATTAAAATTTACCAGAAAGCCACTGTGGATAAAGTATGGTGTTAGCATAGCAATAGACAAATAGAGCCAATTGATGGAATGTAATAGAAAGCCCAGAAATAAATCCGAATGTATGTGGAAATTCAACAAATGACAAAAGTGGCATTTCAAATCAGTGTAGAAAAGGTGGCTATTCAGGCTCACAAGGAAAAAACGGGAGAAAGCACAAATAAATAGGATCATTAACAAAAGAGGAGAAATTACGACACAGCAGAAATCAAAAGAATAATCAGAGATTACTATGAACAGTTATATGCAAACAAGTTCAACAATCTAGAAGAGATGGACAAATTCCTACAACTTTACAGTCATCCAAAGCTAGATAAAGAAGAAACAACACCTAAACAGACCAATCAAAACCCTCCTCAAAAAAACAAAAGCCCAGGACCAGACGGCTTTACAAATGAATTCTACCAAGTGTTCAGAAATGAACTAGTGCCTATCCTACATAAACTCTTTCAAACAATTGAGAAGGAAGGGATACTACCAAATACATTTTATGAAGCCAACATTACAGTAATACTAAAACTGAATAAGGACAACACAAAAAAGAAAACTACAGGCCAACCTCTCTAATGAACACTGATGCAAAAATCCTCAATAAAATCTTAGCCAACAGAATCCAACAAAGCATTAAAAAGATAATTCACCATGACCAAGTGGGATTTATTCCAGGGGCACAAGGATGGTTCAACATCTGAAAATCAATTAATGTAATGCAACATATCAACAGAAAGAAAAATAAAAACCATATGATTGATATCATATCAATAGATGCTGAGAAAGCATTCGACAAAGTTCACCATCCATTTATGATAAAGGCCCTTGAAATTTTGGGGATAAAAGGAACATACCTCAACATAATAAAGGTCATATACGACAAACCCACAGCCAATGTCATTCTCAATGATGAAAAGCTGAAAGCAATTCCCTTAAGGTCTGGAATAAGGTAAGGATGTTCACTCTCACCACTGCTTTTCTTTTCTTTTCTCTTTTTTCTTTTTTTTAAAAAGACTTATTTTATTTATACAAGAGCTGGGGTACCGGCCAGATGTGCGGGAAGGCGAGAGGATTCACCAGAGACTGAGTGGGGAACAGAACAGGCAGACTGATGAAATACACTGCTGAGGGGAGCAGCAGGCGAGACAGGAGTCCACTCGTCATGTGGGTTGCTCCAAGGCCGGCAGGGATCGAACCAGCACTGCAGAGGTTGTGGACAGCTTCACAGCGCTGTGCTCAACCGCCTGCGCCACCAGGGAGGCCCCTGTTTTTCAATATAATACTGGAAGTCCTAGCCAGAGCAATAAGACAAGAAAAAGGCATACAAGGAATCCAAATAGGGAAAAAAGAAATAAAACTGTCACTATTTGCAGACAATATGATAATATACAGAAAACCCCA